TTGAGTGCCTTCTATAGAGTCGCTCACCGTATGCCCGGCTTTCACGGCTGTGCAAGAAACCAGAGTCTGCTCTGTACGTTGAGTCTGACCATCATTAATTGGTTCTTCCACGTATTATTAAAAAATTTAAATATTATTACCATTATTATAATTATAGTGCTAAAATTGCCATTGAGCATTGCAAAAAAAAAAAAAATCATTGTTATTATTAAAATTTTAAATATTATTACCGTTATTAAAATTATAGTGCTAAAATTGTTGTTGAGCATTGCAAAAAAAAAAAAAAAAAACATTGTTATTATTAAATTTTAAATACTATTGTCGTTATTAAAATTTTTAAATATCAAAATTATGCACGTATGAAATGTGTGCCAGGTTATGCAAGTTGCCGATCATAGACCATCAATTAACCTGATGCTCATCTTATTTTTAATATACATAACGTAGTAATTATATTATTAATAATAAATTATATTGATTTATAAATTATAATATTTGATTTATTTATTTCATGTAATTGAGATAATTTCGTTACTCTCAATTATAAAACTTACAAAATCTAAAGCATCTTTAAATATGATATTCATTAAGATATTTTTACTTAAACTTTTCGAAAGATGTCAAATATTTATTGCTATAATATTATAATTAAGATAATTATTTTTCGCTTTAAGTATTTTACTGGTAATAAATAATGACGTTATAATCGCCCCTACCTCGCCCCTTACCTCTACTGTTAATCGGAGTGTAAAAATTGTGCATCACTATTTATATAAATCTTTTACATTCTTTTGATTGCGAAACTTTTCTCATACGCCATTTGAAATCAGTTTTTTTTTTTTTTTTTTTTTCTTTTTTTTTTTTTATCTTGACTATAAAAGGCATTTCCGTATATTATAGCTCAAGTTATAAGTATTGAAGCTGGTAATGTTACGAACAATATTTTGCAGATTAGAAAATTTTTTTCTAAATAAAAAAAAATAGAAAGCTAAAACTTATCTAGATTTTCATCAAATATCAATATGTATTTGCTACGTGAGAACATCGCAAAACCAGTTAGTAATAAAGTTTTTCTTGGTTTTACAGGTTTTTCATGATCAATGTACTACTATACCAAGAGCACCTGAAGAGACATTTCCAATAGGAGTAAAAGATCGACCGACAAAACTTGTAATAACGATAAGTTTTATAATCGATGGACATATATATATTATATTTATTTTATTATTAGGATGCATATAATTTATTAAATATTTATCGTATAGGTTTTCTCTTGGGAGTTACTACCGGAGATTTTAAAGCCAGTTCTTCCTATGAATTATACTTACCTAATTCAAAGTTTTGATGATCTTCTCCTGTTTTAGACAGAGGAGAATTTTGAGATACCCAACTTTAAATTAGATGCATATGTAAACGTTGATAATGTAGAAAAAGCATGTGAATAGTTTACAGAATTTCAAATCTGGTCCAAAACGACAATGCCAGAAGCAAAAGGATTCGAAATTAAGGGGAAACAGGTAATTTTTAGAGAGCTACGATACTGCATTCATAGCAATAAAGTAAAAGAAAAGCAGGGCTATCATGAAGTAAAGAATCCACATTCTTCTCGGGCGAGAAATATATATTGTACTGCCACTATTCATCTTCGACTAGAGTGTCAACGACTTTCGCTAAGTTATCCATTGGAAATCAATATAGAATTCACGCATCATCATTAAGTTTCTGGCCTGTTGATATTAAAGTCCGTGAAAAATTTATTAACTTATTCCGGGATAGGCACTCTTCAGCTTCAGCATTACATGTTTTTGAAGACGACCTCTATTTAAATACTATAAATGAGCAGGAGTTATTGAAAATTTTTGCAGATCGAGCCTATAATCCAGGTTACAATTATGTTGCTAAACTTTTTCAGCAATATCGCGATAATGTGCTTGGAGATCGTAATGGAAAATCAATGTTTAAACGTTTAGCTGACGTGGTTTTAGAATATAACAATTCAGGTCAGGGTAGAGCGGTCTTGCAGGAATATAATTCTAATTCTGGAAATGTATTTATTTTATGCATTGTTACGAATTTGATGGCTCGAATATATGAAAAGATTCCTCAGGCACAAGAAATCTGTTATATGAATGCATCTGCATCTTTTGATCCTCTTAACACATCTATCACGCTCTTATACACTAGTTGCGCAGCCGGTGCTCTTTCACTCGGACTTTTTCTTACATCGGATGAGCTAGAAATTATGATTGTAAAGGCGGTAATAATTTACTGTATTTAAACAAATATTATTTATTTATTTATTTTTATTTTTATTTTTTACTTATTTACTATTTATTTAACTAATCTAGTTAACTTTACTAAAGACGATTCTCCCACCGAATGCATTTTACGGGCGGGGACCACAAGTTGGGCTGATAGTCTTTTTGACTGATAATTCAAAGTCTGAGCGTAATGCTCTGAAAACATGCTGGCCATAAGGTAATTAAGAATGTTTTAAGCAGCTTAACGAATTGGACTAGTAAAAAATTCTTGTACAATTCATGTAAGTGTATTATTTTTAGGAATAAACTTTCACTTTGTTAAAGCATACTAATTTAATATGCATTATTATTGATTTTAACAAAATTCAGAGCTAGTAAATTTGCACAGTTCATTCTTATCGTTATTCTGATTATTCAGATCCAATTGTTAAACAACAAATATCGATATTAGACATTAAAAATGTATATTTTCTTGTTTTAATTGATTTAATACAAAGTTTAATAAAAATTTATAACTTATGTAGGAGTTCGTTTACTGTGCACGTTCCACTTTTTACAGGCATTCTGGAGATAGATTCATGATTCCAAACACAAAATTGAGAAAGAAGATCAGATGCATATCATGGAAAACATGAAAAAAATTTTGTATTCATTATCAAATTTGGAAATGGAAATGCACTATGAAGATTTTAAGCGAAAATATTATTATAAATATTCGCAATTAAAAAGACATGTAGAACTTTTATGGGAATATCGACAGTCTTGGGCTCTATCTTTTCATCTCAGGTTGCCTTTACATGGTAATAACACGAACAATTATATTGAACGAGGCTTTGGCATTATAAAGGATATTGTTTTTACAAGAGTACAAGCTTATAATCCAGTACAGATATTTCACTTCATTACAACAAGTATGGAAAGATTTTATGAGAGAAGATTGCTCGGAATTGCTAATATGCATCCAGGAGTTTTGCGTATAGCTAAACGTTTTTTCTGCCCTGGATGGGAAACAATTAATCCTAATACAATTCAAAAAACAAACATAGATAATGAATTTTTAGTTCCAAGCACAAAAGAAAATAATGATACAAATTACATTGTAAATAGCGAGCTTGGCATTTGTTCCTGTCCTGTTGGAATGTCTGGTGCCCCCTGCAAGCACCAAGGGGCAGTTGCAGTGAAATTTCATGTTTCAATATTCAACTTCATTCCGTTGTTAACACCAGATGATCGTGCAATTTATGCATATATAGCACTTGGTAAGTAAAATTATGCAATTTTCCCCAATATGTGGCATCATATAATATAAATTAGAGTACGTAGTTCTTTTTAACCCAATTTTTTTTAGGCTATATTACCCAGGATAAATTATTTTATGCATCATTATATGCACGGCCTATATTGCAAAATCAAGAAATTTTATGCACTAAAGATAAAGTAGAAATATTCAATGATTTATTAAGAACCGAATGGAAGTAAATATATAAGTTATATATATATATATATATATATATATATATATATATTTTTTTTTTTTTAATCAGAAAATCATATATTTTACAGTTTTTTTAATGATTTTAGAGAACCTGAGGTACTGAACGAAGAGAGCGAAGAAATCACAGAAACCAATAATTCTAATTTTACCTCATTTTTGGAAGAAGTTCGATCAGATTATCAAAATGCTGATCAACCATTACAAACTGCACTAGATAAGTTTAAGGATCGTTATAATTCAGCGAAATCAAAATCTGCCTCGCGGCTATCTTCCTTTCTTTATGATATTGGCCACAATCTAGACCCTATGGCTCGTATTAAAAGTGGTGCCCATATCCGTGTTCAAGTAGAATCAATTAAACGACGCAGTATCAAGCAAAAATCAGCTGTTGAAAATAAAGAAAATGAACATCTGGATCCCCACATTATCCATCAGCAAATTTAATAGGGCGTAATATTGCGCAATAATTTATGAAGCGTAAGAAAACCGTAATATTACGTAATAAC